TATAAATCCAACAGCTTAAAAGAACATTAGTAAAATAAAAAGGAAATCCATCCACATCACAGAAACCTTTTTCATGTTTCAGTCGTATTATACTAACAAACCATAAATAATGTAAGGAAATTCTTAAAACAGAATTTCCTTACATTAACAAGAAAAAGATATCTACTAATACCCAGAATTCCTGTAAATACCATATGAAAAGATACTATCAACATTTCCCTTCTGAGACAAACATAGTTGTGCTTCATACCACATTCCACTTAATGCTTTGTTACAGAATGACAGACATACTTTAATTTTTAAAAACTCAAATGGATAAATTCTTTTTACTTCACAAATTTTTCAGCTTTAAAATCAGTACTTTTCCTAATGAATTTAAGAAAATGAAATTAAGGTATTTGCAGTACCCTGAAGTGTACAAATGGTTGTAATGCATTTTAAGTATGTGATATCAACTTACCTATAGTAAAGGACTAAGAGGAAAAAAAACTCATTTAAAAGACCCATATATATGCCAGGTATTTACATTATGAGGTAAGAACTATGACAACATTATAGAAATGCTACAGAAGAAATGGACAACTTCCTTGAAAAATACAACCTTACAAGACTGACGCAGGAAGAAACAGAAAATCCGAATATATGAATTACCAGCAAAGAAAACCAACTGGTAATAACAAACAAATACCCCCCAAGAAAACTTCAGGTCAAGAGAGCTTCAGAGGTGAACTCAACCTAACATTTAAAGAAGAGCAAGTAACTATTATTCTTAAGGCAACACTAAAAAGTAGAAAAGGGGACAATACTTCCAAACTCATTTTATGAGGCACCACTCTATACCAACACAAAACAGAGAAAACAAAAAAAAAGAATATTGTAAATCAAAATTCACAAGGCACACAGACGTAAAAATTCTCAATAAAATAATGGATAACCAAATAGAAAACACATAAAAAATATCATCCATCATGACCAAGGCAGATTTACTTCATGGTTGCAAGGACGGTATAACATTTGTAAAATCCATCAGTATAATATACCACATCAACAAAAAGAATAAAAACAAATGAACACCTCAATAGATCCTGAAAAGACATCTGACAAAATTCAACATCTATTTATGATAAAAACTCTCAACAAAATGGGTAAAAAGAGTGCAGATATCAGCATAATAAAAGGCCATATATGACAAAATCACAGCCAACATCACACTTAACAGGAAAAAGTTGAAAGCTTTTCCTCTAAGATAAGGAAAAAGAGAAAGATGCCCACTCTCACTACGTTTATTCAACATAGTACTGGAGGTCCTAGGCACAAGCAGCTGGATAACACAAAGAGATAAAAGGCATCCAAACTGGGTAAGGAAGAAGTTAAACTGTCACTGTTTGCAGATGACATGATATTGTATATAAGAAACCCTAACAATCCACTCCCGAACTACCAGAACTAATAACTGAATACAGCAAAGTTGGAGGACACAAAATTAATACACAGAAATCTGTTTCATTCCTATATACTAACAATGAACTGGCAGTAAGTGAAAGCAACAATTCCATTTATAAATTAACCAAAAAAATTTTAAATACCTAGCAATAAATCAAATCAAGGAGGTGAAAGACCTATCTATACTCTGTAAACTACAAGACATTCATAAGAGAAATTAAAGCAGACATCAAAAATTGGAAATAAATCCTATGCTCATGAGTAGGATAAATTAATATTGTCAAAATGGCAATCCTCCCTAAAGCAACCTACAATTCAATATAAACCCCATCAAGATATCAACAAAAATTTTTCAGTGAACTAGAACAAACAGGTCTAAAATTTGTATGTAACTACAAAAGACATCAAATAGCCAAGCAAACCTGAGAAGGAATTTAAAAACTTGGGGGGAATTATGGTTTCTGACTTCAAGCTCTACTACAAAGTCACAGTAATTATAATAATTTGGTGCTAACATAAGAACAGAATATAGATCAATGGAACAGAATAGAAAGCCCAAATATAATCCCCACTGTAACAACTATATATGATCAATCAGCATATGGCAAAGGAGCCATGTATATACAATGGTGAAAAAATAGCCTCAGTAAGTGATGTTCAGAAAACTGGGCAGATACATTTAAGGGAATGAAACTGGATTATTATTTAATTCTAAACACAAAAGTGAACTTGAAATAGATCAAAGATGTGAATATAAGTCATGAAACCATAAAACTCTGAGAAGAAAACATAGGCAAAAATCTCTTGAATATAAACATGAGCAATGTTTTCCTGAACACGTATCCTCAGGTACAGGAAAGAAAAAAATGAACAAGTGGGACCACATTAAACTAAAAAATTTCTGTATAGCAAGGAACACAATCAGCAGGACGAAAAGGAATCCTATAAAAAAAAAAACAGTATGGGAGAATACATTCATAAATTATTCATCTGTTAAACAGTTAAAATCTAAAACACATAAAGAACATGATCAAACAATGGGCAGAGGTATTATGCTCAGTGACATAAGCTAGGTGGAGAAAGACAAGTATAAAATGATTTCACTCATCTGTGGAGTATAAGAACAAAGAAAAAACTGAAGGAGCAAAACAGCAGCGGACTCACAGAACCAAGAATGGACTAACAGTTACCAACGGGAAAGGGACCGGGGAGGATGGGTGGGAAGGAGGGATAAGGAGGGGGGAAAAAGAAAAGGGGCATTACAATTAGCATACATAATGCGGGTGGGAGGACACAGGGAGGGCTATACAGCATGCAGAGGACAGGTAGTGATTCTGCAGTATCTTACTGCGCTGATGGACAGTGACTACAATAGGGTATGTGGGGGAACTTGGTGATGGGGGGAGTCTAGTAAACAATGTGCCTCATATAACTGTAGATTAATGATAACAAAATTTAAAAAAATAAATTAAGAAAATAAGCAAGAGGATCTGAACACAAACGTCTCCAAAGAAAAAATACAGATGGCTAAAAGACACATGAAGATGCTCCATGTCGCTAATCATCATGGAAATGCAAATTAAAACCACAATGAACATTCACCTCACACTGGTAAGAATTACCATTATCCAAAAGAGAAGAAACAATAAATGCTGGTGAGAGCGCAGAGAAATACGATCCCTCCTACACTGTTGGTGGAAATGCAAATTGGTGCAACCACTATGAAAATCAGTATGGAGGTTCCTCAAAAACTAAAAATAGAAATACCATTTGACCCAGTAATTCCACTCCTAGGAATTTACCTGAAGAAAATAAAATCCCTGTTTCAAAAAGACATATGTACCCCTATGTTTACTGCCACACTGTTTTCAACAGCCAAGATATGGAAGCCACCTAAAGGTCCATCAATAGATGAATGGATAAAAAAGAGGTGGTACATATATACAATGGAATATTATTAAGCCACAAAAAGAAAGAAACCCTGCCATCTGCAACAACATGGATAGATTATAGAGGGTATTATACTCAGTGCAACAAGTCAGTCAGACAAATACAAATACCATATGATTTCACTTATTTGTGAATATATAAAAGCAAACAAAGCAAAACAGAAGGAACAAAACAGCCCTAGACTCACACACTGAGAAGGGTCACAAAAGCTGAAGGGAGGGGGCAGGGATCGTATACGTAGGGTTTGGGGGATTATTGAAACATTGTGATATACAATTGGTACTTAATTAATTAATTAATACATATTGCTTTTCTCTCCATTTATCATGTTTAGTTTTTAAGATTGTAGTGACTTCTCATTCTAAATAACTGCTTATTTTATTGGAAAAAAATAAATAAAAATGTTTCCGATTTTCAAAAAACAAAGCAGGACATCCTACTTAAAGGAGCATTGACTCTGACTCAGTTAATATTGAAACTTCAGGTATGGGGAGAGAGGTGGTGACAGATATGCAATGCTATATTTTTTAAAGTTAAAATATCATTGGTAATACAATCTTATATTGGTTTCAAATATATAGTGTTTCAATAGTTACCGGTATTATTAGGTCCTCACCGCCTCTAGTGTGGTTACTATCAAACAACATAATAGGATGTTATAGATATAATACTAAATATTTTAAAGCTGACATGATGGGTACAAGTAAGTTGGGAATCAGCCATTTAAGTGACCTCAAACCATTTTACCACATCCATTCATATTGTGAATAATGGAAGATACCAGCATCTTTCCATTATGGAAATAGTTTTTGCATGACAGCTATCCCCACCCCATTATATTATACTTAGGATTAAAATAAAATGATAGACTTCACAAATTTTTACTGAAGTATTTTTCCACCTTTAAAAAGTTGCTATTAAATCTATGTCTTATCCAACAACTGAAATAAAAGCATGTATGTTCGACCACTAATATTATGGATAGATGTTTTTGTCAGTCTCCTACCAATTTCCTAATATTCTACTACAGGTTATAAATTTGTATCATACTATTTTACATACTGTATGAGTATTTAATCCCAAAACAAAAAAATGTGACATCCACTAAACAAAATACCCTAAAATCAAAATAAAATAGCTTAAAAAACCATAATTATGGTAATAATATCAAAGTGATACCACACTGCTTATTATAAATGTCTAAAAGCGATTTCAATAAAGAAAAACAGAAGAAACTATTCTAAGGCAATGCTTATAACAAACACTATAAATATCTTGAAAAGAAAATTGGGTATTATAAGGGTGGTAAAGAGGATAGTGTTTGGGGAAATTACTGAATCACAGTAAGTTGAAGGTAGAGTTACAAAACTATACATAGTAACATAAACCTCAAATTATTTCATTCTGCTTGCATAATATCACTAAGAAGCAAAATTTAAAACACACAGTAAGTATAAAATAGCAAGTATATGTAGGAATATATAAAATTCAATTAAACTGACTGATTTAATTTGAAACATGAAACTGTAGTATAATTTATTTCACATACAGCATGGATAGGACATTTGTTATTCTTGTTTTTAAATAGTATGTGTTAAAATACTTACCTGGGTTTCATACAAGTGGGCGATATGAAACTGAACTACAAAAGATCATAGAAAAAAATTATAAAATATATGAGTTTAACATAATAACAAAAATAGAGATACTACAGAGATAAAAGGAAATGTAAAATCATTGATTACTAATTTAATTCAGTAGGTTAAGTTATTTCTAATGAATAATATATAAATCTAAAAAGTTACTGAGTATGTGAAAACATTATTGTAGCTAAATAAATTTTAATCCACTTATTTTTAATTTCAAAAAAATTTAATTTAAAACATTAAAAACAGTAAGTATACAAATATCAAATCAGTATTAAGTACTGTAACTTTTTTAATGTATGTTATCTTGAATGATATATTCATGACGTCCAAGAACTTTAACTTTAAAATTATAAAGCTACAATTTAGAGACTTTTTTAGAAAGCATACACAAGTTTTTGCTTTATAGTCCATCTCATACAAACAACATTTCTTAAGAAGTTATAAGTAAGGACATTATTACAGACACATGGAATAAATCACTTTTTTTCAGTTCTTCAAAATTAAGTGAGTTTAATAAAGAACAAAAAGTCAAACCACCTAAAAATACAAGATTATAAATAGAACATCTGAAAATGAAATGAAAAGAGGACATTGCTTTTTCTGGAAAGTCTTACCTGAAAACCAATTCCCAAAGACCATAACACGAAATAAAGCAAAAGCATAACTAAATTCTAGGTATTCGAATTTTATGATTTTCGTATTTCAATGGCAAACATCTTTCCTTCTTTTTTATTAGATCATACAAAACCAGATGAAAATTATATGCAAAATATTTACAGATGTGGAATTTTTTCAACAAAAGACACAATTATTACAAATTTTTCATTAGAATCAGTAGCAAGATGTCTCTTTTTCTCTTTTCTTTCTCCTCCCTCCTCACTCCTTTCTTATTCTTTCTCAATAAATGGCAGTTATTTTAGGAAGCTGAAAATTTACCAATTCTTAAATTCAATTCTTAAAGATTCTGATTCAATCAGCCTGTGGTGTGAAGGTCTGCAAAATGTGTTCGTTAGTAAATCCCTCAATTTCTCATCACTAAATATTCTACATGGAGAATGGAGAACGCTACATTAGATATCCACAAATTCCTTCCCTTTAAAGAAAGGAAAATTATGCCCAAATTTTCTAATTAACTCTAAAATCAAACTTTTTGATATAGTTACTGCTGTACATATGTCATTATGTATCAGAAGGTCAACATCTGTGAGGCACAATAAAAATATTATTTCCAGAGTGGATGAAAATACTATAAAAGAGAAATAATAAAACTAAACAAATGAAGAAGAAAAAAATAAGTTCCACATACAAAAACTTCTTTATTTTATAGATTAACAAACTTTCTCTTCACTGCCCTTTCACAACACAGCTTTCCCTGCCATTTCAAGTGCACTTTACCGAAAGTCATCTCACAGCATTATTAGAGATAAATTGAGTGATTATCGGTAAAAAAACAAAAACACATGAAAACTCTGTATCTCATATTTCCTGTCTTCATAGCCATGTGAAAGAGGCAGCAAGGAAAAGATCAGGTCACTGGCACACTATTAGAATCATCTGAACTTGCTGCAAACTATGATCTTAAGTCCCATGATCCCACAAAATACAGTGTCATCTTTCTAAGGTATCTCCTATTTCATTTTGAAGAAAAGCCATAAACATACAACAAAGAAAATGATCAATATGGCAACTTTCAATTATACAGACTGAATTTTTGACAATATTATGAAAAAAGATTTGGAAACTTCTTTCATTGAGAATAATTATTTTTGGAAAACTAGAATAAATATTGCACTAAAGGAAAATCACATGATTAAAGCTTTATCACCCAATTGTTTTTCAAAGATGTTAATTATATACATCCATTTCCCTACCTCCAAACCAGTATGCATTTATGTAAAAAAGTTTTATATGGGTGGCGGAGCCAGGATGGCGGCATGAGAAGAGCAGTGGAAATCTCCCAAAAACACATAGAGCTATGAAAATATAAAAAAGAAAACTCTTCCTAAAATAGAGACCAGAGGACACAGGACAACATCCAGGGCACATCCACACCTGCAAGAACCCAGCGCCTTGCGAAGGGGGTAAGATACAAGCCCCGCCCGGCGAGACCCGAGCGCCCCTCACCCCGGCACCCAGCAGGTGGAAAAAAACCAGAGCAGTTTTGTTTTTTATTTGGCGAGTGTTTTTGGAAGCCTTAAAGGGACAGGGACCCCGCTGCTAGGGAGGCAGGGCGGCAGGACCGGTGGGCGGGTGCCTGGGACTGCCGCCTGAGGACAAAGAATATCACGTGTTTTTCCCTATGGGATTGGTGGGCGGGTGCCTGAGACCGGCACCTGAGGATGGAGGAAATTGCGCGTTTTTCACTTTTTTCTCTTTTTGGCCAGTGCTTTTTGGAAGCCTTAAAGGTACAGGAACCCCAGTGCTAGGGAGGCAGAAAAGCAGGACCTGTGAGCAGGTGCCTGGGACCGGCGCCTGAGAAAAAAGAATATCGCGCGTTTTTCCCTGCGGGACAGGAGGGCGGGTGCCTGACACCGGCGCCTGAGGCCAGAGAAAATCGTGCGTTTTTCACTATTATTTTTTCATTTTTTCATTTCTGGCGCGTGCTTTTTGGAAGCCTTAAAGGGACAGGGACCCTGGTGCTACGGAGGCAGAACAGCAAGTACAGTGAGCGGGTGCCTGGGACCGGCACCTGAGGACAAAGAATATCGCGCATTTTTCCCTGTGGGACCGGTGGGCAGGTGCCTGAGACTGGCGCCTGAGGACAGATGAAATCGCGGGTTTTTCCCTTTCTTTCCCCTCTTTTTAGCGAGTGCTTTTTGGAAGCTTTAAAGGGACAGGGACCCCGGTGCTAGGGAGGCACAGCAGCAGGACTGGTGAGCGGGTGTCTGGGACCGGCGCCTGAGGACAAAGAATATCGCACATTTTTCCCTGCAGGACCGGTGGGCAGGTGCTTTTTGGAAGCCTTGAAGGGACAGGGACCCCGGTGCTAGGGAGGCAGGGCAGCAGGACCAGTGAGCGGGTGCCTGGGATCGGCGCCTGAGGACAAAAAAACCGCGTGTTCTGTCCCTTTTTTTTTTTCTTTCCTGTACCCTCTCTCATTGTTGCTGTTGTGGTTTTGGTTTGGAGAGTGCTTTTTGCAAGTCTTAAAGGGGCAGTACAGGACACTTAGACCAGAGGAAGGGAATCTGCGGATCTCTGGGCACTCTAACGCCCTGGGCAACAGGGAGCACAGAGGACCCTTACAGAGATAAATAGCCTCCCGGCTGCACCCCTCAAACGGGGCTCCACCACGTTCGAGGAGCAGCCCCAGCCAGGCCACGCCCACAGCAACAGCAGAGATAAATTCCATAGCAAATGGGCAGGCAGCAGAAGCCCTGTCTGCGCACAGCTGACAAGCATAAGCCATTAGAGGTCGCTATTCTCTCAGGAGAGGAAGGCCACAAACCAACAAGAAGGGAAGCTCTTCCAGCCATCACTCGTACCAGCTCTGCAAACTATCTCTATCAACATGAAAAGGCAAAACTACAGGCAGACAAAGATCACAGAGATAACACCTGAGAAGGAGACAGACCTAACCAGTCCTCCTGAAAAAGAATTCAAAATAAAAATCATGAACATGCTGACAGAGATGCAGAGAAAAATGCAAGAGCAGTGGGATGAAGTCCGGAAGGAGATCACAGATGTCAGGAAGGAGATCACAGAAGTGAAACAATCCCTGGAAGGATTTATAAGCAGAATGGATAAGATGCAAGAGGCCATTGAAGGAATAGAAGCCAGAGAACAGGAACGTATAGAAGCTGACATAGAGAGAGATAAAAGGATCTCCAGGAATGAAACAACACTAAGAGAAATATGTGACCAA